AGGAATGACAAAGAACTTACTAGTAACTGCCTACCCTCTACCAGGCTTGGGGAGGCGGCTGGAAAGAGTAGAAATCAGCCAAATCGAGAGATAAGCATGCCAAGGGAGTTTGTCCGTTGAGAGAACAGTTTGCTGCGAACTGTTCTCTCAACATACAAACTCCCTTGGCATGCTTATCTCTCTATTTGGCCGATTTCTACTCTTTCCAGCCGCCTCCCCAAGCCTGGTAGAGGCAAGTAACTGCCCTAAAAAAACTCTTTCCATACTAACTAATGCAAAGTGTTGCTGCTAGTCTAAAAATGAAGCAATAAAATGTCACTTAGAAAAATGATCATATACACACATACTAGTACATCAAGCACTGAACAGAAAATAACAGTATTACATTACTGTAAAACTGAGTAAAAAATAAGTGAATAACACATTATAAGTGAATAACACAAAGCACAGCATACAAAAATAGAACACAACTTCACCTTGGTTTTCTGTAAGAATGCAATGAATTTATGAACACAGCATTTCATTCACTGCATTTCATTTCATAGAAAATTCAAGTACATCACTAGAATCTATAAACCTTATTGTAACTACCTACATGTGACATTACCATCAAAACATAACATACAGGATATCAGATCACATGAAACCAACAACTGTTTCTTTGTACCAGATCACAGTGTTTCTGAAAATACTACTAAAACCTGCATTGAGTCATTCAGATGTTAGTCACCTTAAATCAAGCCTTTTTAATACTACCCAGTGCAGCGTATGCAGAGTATTTGGAGCTCTGTACTGTATATGCATCACTGATGTAGTCAACTGTGCCAAAAGTCCCTAAGAGTCCACTATACTCCTTCTTCCTGTGCATTTCTTGTTCAGACATGGTAAGTGTAACAGTGGTACCATGGTAACTGTGGCCTATGACCCTAAGAGTGTACTATACTCCTTGTTCCTGTACGTTTCTTGTTCAGACATGGTAAGTACATACGAGCCACACAACACACCGGCCCGCAGGCCTTCCAGCCTCCTGCAGGCAGGCTGGGGGTTAGGTCCCTCCAGTCCCCCGTCTGTCTGTCCCACACAAATATCTTCCAATCATCAGCCTCTACGGGAACCCCACTGTACGAACGTAACACGACATGAAGCTGGTTCTCTAGCACGAAGAGACTGGGGCTGTCCAGAACCGTCACTCTGAACAAGTCACGAAGGGGTACATTTCTCGGAGGCGGCAAAACGGTGGAAACCATTAGCCAGACATCCGACACCGTGTCGTACACTGCCATCTCGCTGAAGCGAGTGTCCGTGCAGAAGATCTCGGTAGTTCCCATGGCAACAGCCGTGCAGAGGAGTGGGATGGCGTTGAGCGGGGTCCGCTTGCTCCAGCAGTCCTGTCCGGGATCGTAGCGATGCATTTCCGCGTTCGTGAAGAAATATAAGTACGAACCACACGACAACGCCACGCTGATATCCGACGTTGCCTCGAGCGCCGGCTGCGCGCAGTCCTCCCATTGGTTAGTGTGTCGGTTGTACCGCCTCACCCACACGAGCATGTCCGCGGTCAGCGACAGCTTCACCGCGAGATAATACAAACATCCGTCCACTTCAACAAGGTATTCATCGCTCGGTAAGTCATCCCCACGTGATCTAGAAACAGACGACACGTGTTCCCACGTGTTCCCTACATGGTTGTAGACAAACAGGGATAGTTCAGCGTGCGAGTGTCCGGCTAAGATGTAGATGTCGTTGTCGCTGGTAACAGTCGTGGTGACGACAGGAGGAAGGTCTGCTGGGTAACCACAGCTGATGTACCGCCCGACTCTGGGGTTCATACACAGCATCTCTCTCTTGCTGTAGACAAAAATAAACATTGTTACAGTCACAAAAATGTCCGTCTCCTCTACAGTATCCCTACTCTTTTTAGTTATTCTGTAAAAACCCACTCACTCACTCACTTACTGTCCGGTTAATCGTCTATCCAATGAAAAGCTAAAGCTCCTATAAAGAAGCTCCTATACACACAGGGCTGTGTGGCATAATGGCAGCGCATTCAGCTCAGAACCAAGAGGTCCCAGTTTCAAATCCTGCCAAGTCACTAACCTTATGTCCTTGGGAAAGGCACTTTGCATGACGTTTGTCACTTCGTTCAGGTGAAAATGAGTATGCCAGAATGATCATGAGCAATTAGAAAAACAAACAAACAGAAGAAATAATGGACAAACATTGAGCCAAAGAGTAGTGCCATTTCCTGGGTGTCCATCCCGACTCTTGTCTTCTGGGAGGAGGTCTCCGTCTGTACCTCGTTCCTGATGACCTCTGATATCCCAGGATCCTCCCTGACCAGGGGATGTTCTAAGATGGCTGCCATGTTGTCTGAGGTCAACAGGTTGAAGCGGATGTGAGGGAGGATGCTGGGTAGGTGCTGCAGTCTGTAGGGTACAATTGTACGTGTATCAGGTGTTCGTAAATACTAAATTAAAATCTTTGTGATGTCTCCGTGCGCATGTGGTATATGCTCCATGTGAGCAGGAGATTTTTATGTTTAAAAAGAAGTATGCTACGTTCACTGAAATGCAGATCTATAAGAAACCAATATACAATATAGCAGTGGATGTGACATTCTCATGATGAGAATATGCTGTATACTAGATACTATCATACTACATGTAGTATATAACATTACGTAGTAGTTTCAAAGCCTGGATGGCGAGTGAGTGAGTGAGTGAGTGAGTGAGTGAGTGAGTGAGTGAGTGAGTGAGTGAGTGAGTGAGTGAGTGAGTGAGTGAGTGAGTGAGGAGTGAGTGTGTAAGTGAGTGAGTGAGTGAGTGAGTGAGTGAGTGAGTGGGTGAGTGAGGAGTGAGTGTGTGAGTGAGTGAGTGGGTGAGTGAGGAGTGAGTGAGTGAGTGAGTGAGTGAGTGAGTGAGTGAGTGAGTGAGTGGGTGACTGAGTGTGAGTGAGTGAGTGAGTGAGTGAGTGAGTGAGTTTCCCCACCTATCCTCCCTTCTGTGCTGCACCCATCTCACCACAGCCTCCCACACTCTTGTCTCCTCTTTAACATCCAGCTCATCATGGCTGATGATCTCAGTCAGCTGATCCACACTCAGGCTGCAGAACTCTTCACTGATGGAAACCTGGAGGGGACAGACAAATAGATAGATGGAAAGATGAATGAATGAATCAAGGAGTGACTGAAGAAATTAATGATTTCCTTCAGTTACAAAAACCGTTATATCCATGCAAGATATCTAACAGACAAGATGTGTCGTCATTTCAATGGTCAAAAATCAAACAAATGTAAAAGGTGGTAATTTATTTGCATCTACATGTATTCTCATTCTTGCATAACATTTCAGGTCTCAAAAAGGAGTTATCCATTGAATTGAGTTGCTGTGGGCTTACCAACTAACAATCATGATACTGAAAAAGAAAGACAGCCAAAAAGGTTTGTAGTGATAACAGAGTACTAGTACATACAGGATTCTTAATTTGCTCGGCTTGATAGTCCTTATAGTTATAGAGAAGTTGTAACTAATGTTTACTATTAACCTTAGCAAAGTGCCGACAGATACACTGCAGACAACGGTTCAAAACAATGTCCACAGCGAAGGCATCAGCAAACTTGTACAGGTCCACACAGGTGGAGCGCTCCACGTTCATGGCCATGTAGCTGCTGCAGGTGTCTCTCACATAGTCCAGCTGCAGGAGGTCAGCTGCCTGGTACAGGTGCTGCACTCTGTCCAGGGACACATGGAGGGTTCCCGAGTAGATGTAACTCAGGATCTCCCCAAACATGGCTGTATCCAAACCCTGTAGGGTGATATAATGTATTTAGTACTATATACATGTACTGTATTGTTTAGTTGCTGTATCTGTATTAGAAGACACGTACGTCTACTACCAGCTATGGTAAATTTTGAAACTTTTGAAACTCGTGGGGCCATGGGGTTGTGTGGAATAACAACAGAACATTCGGCTCAGAACCAAGAGGTCCCGGGTTCGAATCCCGCCATGTCACCAAATAATTGAATACAGTATCTTTAACATGGCTATTTCAGTCTGGCGTACATTCGTCAACATTCGTGTGTAAAAAAGAAAGCCACAAAATACTGGAGCAAAAGTTTAGGGAGTCAACTTCGGATATAAAAGGAGTGTCTTCTTTACAACAACAACATGCATCAACAATAACAACTTTACTACTGATATTAATTATTCACTGATCTTAGTACACATCTACATATATAAGAATAATACAAAGAACCCCTAGAGGGACTAGTTTTGCTGTACTTCGGGTTAGAATTGCGCCAAATTTACCTTCAAAACAACCGTCTTCTGCCGACTCTCCGCCATATCAGATGTAAACATCGCCCGGAAATAGGGGCTGGCCGCGGACAAAACAAGCCGGTGGCAGGGAAACCGGCGGCCCTCGACTTCAAGAACCACATCCTGGAGAACTTCGGCCTTCTGTAAGTCACTTACGGTTCCAAGAAACCCGTGGCGATAGCTTCTATCATGGTAAAAACGAGGACGAAGTGTTTTTACGTTAGTTTCTTGGCCTGCGGCAGCCATGATGTTCCCGCCCAGGGTAGGGTACAGCCCCTTCATCATCATCATGGCTGCCTGGGACCCCTTCTTTCGACCGCAACTAGACGGTACTGTGGGGACCTCCAGCGATTCCTGTCAGACTTGCAGTTGCAGTATGCAGGTTTCCCCTTTACCATATATGGCGATCGATGCCATATATGGAGCGAAGAACGCACAGTACTAGGCGGTACATGCGCGAATGTACGCCGACTGAAAACGCACCATAATTCAACTTTTATAGTCTAAAAACTAGCGCAATCCTCTAATATTTACCACAGGTTAAATCTCGAAGCCATACACAGAGCAATCTCTGCGTCTTTTTCTAGTCTTGTGCAGCACTACTTTGTGTTCGCCCATAAATACATGTGTTATGCGGTTCAGGTGTCGCGGACAAGGTTGGGTCCCGACATTACGTCCCCCCTTACCATATATGGAATGCCGGTGTCGCGGACAATTTTGGGTCCCGGCTTTTCGGTCTCCCATTTACCATATATGGAATCCACTACCATATATGGCGTGCCTTGCCATATATGGAACGAAAACTGACAGTGGGTTTGGGCTGCAGTAATAACCTTCCACAGTTAGACGGCGCTTTTGAACCGTGAGCTGGAGCCGGCCCAGCCGTAGGTGTAGGGGCCGTATGCACTGACGGAAGGATCGAGACTGGATGCCAGGCAGCACGAGACGGTATCTCCCTGCGACCGGGACACGCTGCACGGCCCGAGCCCAAATTTGGCGCCCGGTCCGGCCTGTAAATTTACCTCTTGGACGATAAATACTTTTAGAAAAGAGTGTGCCGAGATGGGGACCCGGTAGCGAGCCGTGATATGACGGGGAGCCAGTTGTGACGCCGTCCGAGACCGTGATGGAGGGCCCGTGGACATGCCTTCGACCGGGACACGCTAAGGCCCGAGCCAAACTTGGCGCCCGGCCTCTAAATTTATCTCTTGGACGGTAGATACTTTTAGGAAGGAGTTTGCCGAGATGGGGACCCGGTAGCGAGCCGTGATATGACGGGAAGCCAGTTGTGACGCCGCCCGAGACCGTGATGGAGGACCGGCGGGCATGCCATGATGGGTGCCCGGTTGACGGGATCAACAAACGCTGCCCGGGCCGTAACTAAGCCTGACACTGGCGCTAAAAGGGACCATCAAGCCCCCAAAATCGCACAAGAAGTGTTGGTCTTGGACTATATGACTCCCGGAAAGTTTAATTCTTCATTCCGTGTGCAGTTGTGTATTAAACAAGTACAGGTAAGGCTTTGTATGCCATCGGTCTGTTGAGATATGAGATAGACGGACGTAGAAGGGAAACGGCTCACGACCCGATAATAATCTGACTCCTAGAGTAGCTTGTTCCGTGCCAAGGAATGAACTCAGTGAATTAAACAACAATCGTTCAGCTTATTTCTACCTGTTACCCGTTTAATTCTTTGTTTACGCGTTGGTTCAGACTATTTTACCAAAGTGCGTGTATGGTGTCGTGTATGAATGGGGGGATGGACGCAGGTGGCGGCGGCGCTTTGCAGCCATGAGCCCCGCAGTTACGTGCACAAGAGAGGCGGTCGGTTTAGTAAACAATGATCAACCGAAGTCGATCAGCTTTATATTTATATATAAATCCCTGTAAACATGTATTTTCCGTTCGACTGGCGTATGGCCCGGTAAAACAGCAATGTAAATTCCATAATCGATCGTGTGTTGCGGGACTGAGTGAGTGAACGAGTAACGTTAGTAGTGAACGAGTGTATGAAAGCTAAAGGTAAACAAGAGTCAAGAGCAGATTTGGGAGGCGTATGTGTAAAATGAACGGTGAATTAACCGGTAGGATGGCATATTTTCACGCCAGATAAAGTGTGTTTTGCTTGCGACTTGGATCTGTAACCTACTGGGCCTGGCAAATGTTTACAGATCGAGCCCTAACATCTGCTTGGTTCCCATTCATATGGTAATGAGTTCGGCAGCGAAAACTCCGCTTCTGCAAAGGGAGCGACGCGTTCTGCAAGCGATCAGCTGATCGCAAAATCACGTTTTGGCTTATAACTCCAGAATAAAACAACTTTGAACAAAGAAGTTTCGTGGGTATAGAATAGTGTTGGTTAGGAACATACTGTGTCAATAAGGAATCTTAAAAATGTTATAAATTGCATTTTTCTAAAATTGAAAAAGCGGAAATTCATCCCCTATCACACCCCCGTTTTTGAGCGCCCGTTTCGAAAAGGCCCGTATCTCGCTAACGAAGCCTCGCTCATTCCCAGATTTGGCCATTTCGCGAGTGGGGAAACGCGATGGGCTCTTATGGGGGTTTTACTCCCAGTCTTTTTTACTCTTGATCTTGACCCTGAGGCTTGACCTGGTTACCAAAATATGACCAATTACTTTAAAAGAACTATTTTAGTCCTACATTTGCTTATTTTGACAGGAACATTTCCAGAACGGTCGTTATAAGCGGTTGAAAATGGCCCTTTTTTCGTCATTTTTGTCTACGTTTCTTAGTCCACAAAGTGAATTATCCCCTATAAAAAGGGGTACCACATGAAAAATTTTAACACTGACAGAGCACTTGAACCACCTTTCAAATAATTTCAGGATTCGTTTCACTATTTTCAGTATTACACCAGATATTTGGTCTCTTGTATTGTCACTCACATTAAAATTGCTCTATCTTCTATATCCAAGCAGATACGATTAGACCATCCATAGTGTGTACTGGGATATTAGATTATGTTTAGGTCTTAGAAACTGTAGTAAGAACTGTAGCCCATGCCATTTCGACATGCCTTGTTTTTTTTCTGTTAAAAACATTAATATTGCATCCACTTGTATGTACCTATACTTGGGGACAAGTCTTTTCTTGTTCACTATCAAAATAAACTAGCAAAGACATAATAACAATGTACACAAGGACAAGAAGAAAACATGATTCCATATCAAAAAGTTTAATAATACATCGGTGATATGGTTGCCAGTACATGGGTGGTGAATTTATATACAGGAGGGGTGTTCATCCAAATCCTTGATTTTCAAACAGAAATTTCCTATTTTCTTTTAGTTTAAATTATCAGATCAAGCTTTTCTCATGTGTATTGCAGAATGATACCAACAGTGGCTGAGTAAAGCTATAGATGCAAAAATACAGCAGTTTTCCCAGGGTTAGAAGTTTTTCAACAAGTTGTTAAGATCACATAGACTTATGATATGGATGATGTCATGGCGAAGTTTCCTGTAATATTCGTTGACACATTTCAAAAGTGACATCAAGATTTGGTCCCAAATTTTGTCTACGATGTGAAAAGTCTGCATAGATATACAATGTTACGGCTTGCATACTAATTCAGAAAAGATATGTGTGGATTGAGCAGTGAGGGTTGATCGCAAAGTTTGGATGGAATAAAAAGTTATGATTGGCACCCCTCCTTACACGTTGAATCTCCCAGTTCGCCATTGGCACACAATGGACTTGACCATTACAGGCTGAATATAAGGGGTGATCACCAACACATTTTTTTACAAGCATGACAACAGAATCTACAGTGAAATACATGAAGACTACAGAGTCTGATGTTAAACTCTAATGGCTAGATATAAATATTACAGCTATCATATTGTGAACATCAACAAAACTGGATTTTACACATTATGGTCAAGATTTCAGTAAAATTAGCATGATTTACTTACAAGTTCCCTTACTATAAAATTTACAGGTTCAAAGGTTACAGGTTCATAGGTCAAAGGTTATACTGCCCCTTCCATACAATCACCCTCCTAACAGTTCTAAATCTTACATGATTGCAAGAATTCAGTGTACAAGAAAATTTCCTGAATCAACAAATATTTGGCTGTGATTTGTATGAAGAAAATACTATTACTATGACAGTACCATGGCAAATACGCTATTAGGTAATAAGTACAAAAATTAATTCTTAATTTTTGGTAATTTCTTTCCCATCACCAAATGTTACTTACTATGGTGACATGTCAACAACTTTACAAACAACCTGTCCTACCCCTTCAGCAAATGGATCAGTCCATATGCAAATTTCTGACAGGAGTACTGGGTAGGAAGGCTTCCATTGTCAAACAGTTTTGCTTATAAATATTCTTAAAAAATTAAATCTTAATCATTAACAGAAGCCAGCTTATGATACATAATGCTTTTCTCATAAATTGCTTCAGATAAAAAAAACACAACCTCCATTATGACACCCCCTTTACACAATGGACTAGTCACAGATTATGACGTAATGTACTGAGACCTGGACTAATGAACTTACATACGGGGAGTTACATCAGGTATAGATTATATGTATGTAAATATCCATTTTCTAGCACTTAGATATTTTTTAACATCAAAGTTGTATATTTTCAAGGTGGAACAGTCCAGATTAGTCCATATATGGATGAGTGCACTTAGGATAAAGGGGTGAACAAGTTACCTTGCTGAATGGAGAAGTGAAAAAAGTAACCAAACAAAGACACCTTTTCTTTCAAAATGTACAAAAATCAATTATAGATTATAAGTGAACAAAATCTCTGTCTAATTTAAAAGTGTATAAAAGACATAAGAAAGGAGCATATTGTCTTCATTAAGAGGGTTTTCTACCACTTGTGGTAATTTTACAAAAGCCCCAACTGGCTTTCTCAACTTTGCTAGTTGTGACAGACATAGCTATAGTATACAGCACTGCTGCCTTTACAATATGCAGAGACCAAGCATTTAGCCCAACGCTTACTATTGTACAGAGGTCTGACGCATTGGGCTCAGGAACACATCATAAAACGCCTCTGCCCCCGAGGCATTGCCAAAAAATTCCTCTCCATATCCTACTAAAATATGTAGACTTACACACTTCAAGACAACTACTTTCTAGGAGAGTAGGGGCTTGTTTTACAAGTATGTGCATTTGAGGTTGAAATACTGTGAGTTAAAACTAAAAACATAACACTAGGCTACAAGAACACTATTCTACAACTAGACATGTGCATTGAATGTGGTGTTCTTGTGCAAATACTGACCAATAACATACAGTGTAAGAGATGAGAGTTCCCCAAAAGGGAATGTGCCTTGTTCATTGGTTAACAAGGCTTGTTATGATTGTCCCTTAGAGGGGGGTGGGAATGACAGCATCAATTCCACAATTAACTGATCATCTCCTCCTACATTGCTATGCATACATTGATTATTTTACAAAAACTGATGTTATGTTGTTTTTTATGAAATGTCATGGTGACAATAGTGAATTTAACACAACTTAAACATGAAGAATTTTTAAATGTGGCAGTACATATACATGGCTACTTTAAAAACAAACAAATACCTGTTATGTAATGACTTACTTTTTTCTAAATTTCTTACAAAATACATGTATGATAAAAAAATTAAGCAAATCTACAGCAAAACGCTATATTCTAAAAATACCAGTTTTTTGCTTATTTTGTGGTTATTTAAGAAAATCATATTTCCCATTTCCAGGTTGCTATATACAAGTTCTTACAAAAGGGTAGGAAGGGGGTTCCCATAAATTATCCATCGAAATCTTCCTCAAACCCTTCATGTAGCCCCGCTGATTCCCCTCACATACAAAACAGGTTTCCATCAGGTAACCTACAAATATCATTTTTAAGTATTGCTGAAACCCCTCTGTGATCCTCCCAGGAAATCTCTTTTGTTGCCATGGCAACAGGTACAAAACAAGTTACACTGACACCTTGTTTGTTGCTATGACTACACTAGTGCTGCTAAGATGTCCGGTAACTCGAGGGATGGAAGCCTTCGTTGCCCGGCAACTGTTGCTATGGTGATCACGCGAGGCGATGTTTCCATGGCAACTGCTAACAGTTCAGCTCTGACTGCGTGATGGCGTTCAGGTCCCTCATTAGGCCCTCCAAGTTTGCCATCTCCGTGGTCAAATCATCATCCTCATAGGAGTGCTGCAACAGAATCAACAGGTTTAACTTCAGCATACTAAGGTAGTTGTTCAGCACCACATTTGTTTTGGCTATGGGCTTAGGCAGCAGGGAGAAGGTTAATATCAAAGAACACAGCGAGAGGCACATACAATGATAATTACCACTCTACAATACCTCAATGGCTCCAACCTGGAGGTGTAGCCAAAAACTAGTTGGGAAAACCTCCCAAATTGAAACCAGTTATTGAATGTTCTTTACCAAGTGTTAAAATAGTTTATAGGATGTCACAGACACTGTATAGTAGATTTGGAAAAGGAAAATTCAGTATGAGTGAGATCAGTATTTACCTCGGACCCAGGTGGTGCCTCGGGCAGTGGTGGTGGTTGTAACGTCTGAGGATCAGGGTACATGTCTGCCGGGGTCTGGGGTTTACTGGGCGTGCTCAGTGGTGTAGACAGGGTACTGGACGGCCCTGGTTTGGCTACAGGAAAAAAACAAGTTGGTTTCACTGTCAACCATGTAACTTTGGCTTAAGATTATTGATGCTACCAAATAGCTGTTTCTATAGCATTCCATTAGTCAGTTTTTCTGCGAATTATAAAATTATGTCAAAGGAAGTTAGTCTTGCTCATATCACATCTTTTAATACTTTGTCAACTGCACAAAATCTTTTCTGAGTCAAGGCAATTTTATCCAGTAAATTTTGACATTCATGCCACACAGGCAATAGGTAAATTCAATTGATAAATTCTGTAACGGTTGCTTAAAAGTTCTTTTTTTAATAATGCTGCATGACAGTGTCGAGAAAAGCATGAAAAAGGGATGACAAATCTGTGAGACTTACGTTCGGAGAGGTGTGAGGACTGAGGTGTTGTGGGAAGGCTGTTGTAAGGAGGTGGGGGAGGGGGGCCGGGCACACTGAAGCTTTTCAGGGGGTGAGCAGGCCGGGCGCCCAACGATCGCGCCTCCGAGGAGGGGGTGTAACTCCTCTCTTGAACAGCACAGGAAAAAACGTGTTAATCAAAACATTATCATCCAAAGTCAGTGCTGTTCCTTGCACATTCTGCATATTTAAGTTTATTTGTTAATACAGTATGTGATAGTAAGTTAAACTTTAAGTTGACACAGTTATGACTGGTAGGTTATCATTGATTAAAGGTGATCCATACTCAATTCATTAATGACTGTTTGTCAATAGTTGTCAATGGATAGGTTAATATTAACCTATTGTTAACTAATTACTGACTGGTAAGTTCTTAATGACCAGTGCTAACCTGTAGTTAACTCATGAAAGACCTGTAAGTTGTTAATGACCAGTGCTAACCTGTAGTTAACTGATTAATGACCAGTAAGTTGTTAATGACCAGTGCTAACCTGTAGTTAACTGATTAATGACCGGTAAGTTGTTAATTACCAGTGCTAACCTGTAGTTAACTGATTAATGACCGGTAAGTTGTTAATGACCAGTGCTAACCTGTAGTTAACTCATGAATGACCGGTAAGTTGTTAATGACCAGTGCTAACCTGTAGTTAACTGATTAATGACCGGTAAGTTGTTAATGACCAGTGCTAACCTGATGGAGTGTGAGGAGTGTGTAAGTACGAGTGTCCGCTGACGGTGGATCCAGGCGTGTGGATCTCGTGATCACTGAGGGGAGGGGGAGGGTAGTCTGCCACTGGGGGGAGGGGGGAGTTAACAATGATCATTAGTAACATGAAGTTGTACACGTATTAGGGTGTACAAAACATGTTTAGTGCAATATGATTAGACATTGTGATATCTATAACGTTATACATGTACATGTGAGGGGATGTTAGCTCATTTAAACAAATCAATAATATTATTGTACAGCAGGCTTAAAAAGGAAGTTTTGGCTTTCATTCCAGTGTAAACCAAATTCAAAGGAAGTTTAATATACCTAGTATCATATCTTTGCATTGTAAACTTTGACAAGTTGAAGAACAAAAGTCTAAGCTCACCATCGTTCATGGGGCTTGGCTCTACGGATACGGAGCGCGGGATGTTAGCGGAGTACTGCGTACGCGGGTACAGCGGTCTGGACGGGGAGACCGGGCGCGGGTCGGGATGGTTCAACGTCACTGAGGTAGCGATGGCTACACAGGGGAGACAAGACAGTCATTTCATGTACTCATACAATAAAAGTAACTATCGTAAAAACCTTCAATGAGTTCCAATAAACAATTCTATAGAATCTTTAAGAAGCATTACAACAAGTACAAATTTTTCTCTTGATTTTCTTTACATACACTTAACAAAAAGTCTGCCCTAACAATTAAACAATTGTAGACATTCTTGACATAACAAAACACTGTGCAAGGAAAAGACACAATGGATAGTCTATATTCTAATACATGTACTCTACAGTGCAAATACATGTACTTGGCACACACTGCAAAAGACGATCAATATATAACACCATGTACAATTATACATGACATTGCGTAAATTTTCCTAGTAGGACCAGTAACAAGACAAACCACTACCACACCAGTACAGTACACAATGTTTGCAATACGTATTGTTAACAACAAGGACATGACATTGTTGGTAATGTACATTTCAATGGAAACCAGGGTACTTCAAAGACAAAACAGGTAGGATAAGCACAACATTCTAGAAGAAACTTGACTATGGCCAACACCCAGCAATGACAGTGACATTTTTTTTTCCACATGACATTGACACTCCATAAGATACATGTAAAATGTGGGAGGAACAGTGGCATCAGTTGAAAAATTATTTCACAGCCACAGCAAGATCAGGAAAGTAGATTTTATGAAAGACAGAATGTGGGCTGAACCATGTGAGAGTAGGGGTGAGCAGCATGGGGATGACTTACATGGTTGAGAAGCAGAGATAGGTTCGAGTGTGTGGTAGAAATGGCTCTTGTCACTCACTGATGGAAAAGAAAGGAAAGCCAGCAAAATGGATGAAATTAATTAAACAAAATGGAACAGAGTAAAGAACTAAGTACAAATGAACAGTAAAGACAGTCATCATGATTATGACTACGTTAAATAAATCAACAACGTATTCAAAAGAGACAGAAAAACTTGGGCAAAAAAAATTAAAGCGCAAAGTTGCAAAAGGAGAAAGTTAACCCATAATTCCAGCTAATTTTGTTCTGTAACATCTGTTTCCTTGGTTTACGCATTTTTCAGGTGATGCAGTCTTCTCAATTACATATAGTCTAGTTAACCTTCTCCCTGCTGACACAACCATTTGGAACCAAATTTGTAATCAGTATGGGTTAGGCAGCAGGGAAAAGGTTAAATCAGACCATTGAAAAGCATACATAGGCTGTGTTTTTATATGAAACCAAGCAAATGATGTATGTAAACTTAATCCAAAGCTAGTCTGCTGGTCCAGGCTTTACAGTATCTAGACTTACATGGCTGAGAGGAGGACAGAGGCTTGAAAGTCGACATCGAATAAGATGGAGGTCGAGAGGGACGGACTGATAGAATGGAACAAGGAGAACAAGGGAAAGGAAGGAAGGAAAGAGAGATGGAAGGAAGGAACAGTTGGATGGTAGGGAGATGAAGTAATGAAGAAAGATGTTTTCAAGAGTTTGCAGTAAGATACACAACTTCTGAATTTCCAAAATAAGAAAGAAACATCCAGTTATCTAGAGTTAACGAAAGAAGTTGCATCCAGGAGAACAACAACAAGCGATAAAAGTAAAGTTGTTTTACATGTTGAAACAGACAGACATTATTGTGATTAAATGAACAGAACATACATATATTAGTTGTTTTTAACCCTCAGTACTACCGGTATACCCTGTTGGGTGTGAATTGGCATGTTTTGACTGGTTACCTAAACATGTTAATATTGTTCCAACTTGTACACGAGAGCTCTTTGTTCAGGACATTTCTTTTAGACTTACAATATTCCAAGTCATAGTAGATCATAGGTTGTATTATATGAAACATTGCTACACACAGAAATACAGGGTAATGTGGGAGGGGGTGAGAAGGGATTTGGGAATGAAAGGAATGAAAGAGAAGACGAGAAAGAAAAGAAAGACAAAGAAATGTGAAAGAACCTCTTGGTTTAGAAGAGGAAAGAAGGAAGAAATTCAACCTAGTAACCTAAATAGAGCACAAAATGTACACTAAGATATACATGTTTAGGAAGAGGATACTCCTGGTAAATTTCATGCCAAGACAAAGTACAAGACAGTAAGTTGAGTTTTGCTACATTCAAGTCAAACCTTTATAACAAATACTAGTAATCTTCAGTGATTTAACAAGGCCAAAAGTCTTAGCCTGGGTACCATCCTGATTTTCGCTACGCAACGCTTGAAAAAATCATGATTTTTTCAAGCGTTGCGTAGCGAAAATCCGGATGGTACCCAGGCTACAAAAGTCTGACTTTTAGGTTAAATGTTAGGTACAAAGTAAGTCATAGATTACATTGAATGTACAACCTGGAAAACACAGGTTGGTACAGAGGTGTCAAAAACTGTTCATTTACACAAAAAGATTAGAAAAGAGGCTGTAGTCTGTTGTAGGAGTGGGGAGGTGTTATTCCATTTTGGACACTGAAAAGTAGTGATGTAGGTGACATTGATACAAAACAAGGGTGGGGGGTTGAGAAAGTTGCTCCTCCCAAAACATTACTGTAACAACAACTGTAACAGTCCATCAACTGGTAAGAAAGTTGACGGTGAAAAAATACAGACAGGGAATCTGCAAGTTTTTGAAAGAAGATGAAAGGATAGGCAGGCAAGACAGAAGAGTTGAATATCAGGTAGAAAAAACTTGGCCAAGATTAAATAGATGTACTGACAGATAAGATAGAACGATGCACAAAGTAAGACTTTGTTCCATGGAAAAATTCAACAAACAGAGAAGTTGAATTAATTTTTGAATTAGGATAGAATGAGCAATAACAAAGGAGGGAATAGGTTGTAATAAGTAATCAAAAACACCTCATGAAAGTATTTGTAAAATGCTGAGGAACAGAAGTACAAGTTGAGATGTTGGTCACAGAAAATTTTACCAAACAGAGAACTTGAATTTTCATGATCATGGATAGAACAAAGTGATAGGAAAGAAGAAGAGAGGTTGGAAAAACAAATTTGAAAAACGTTGAGAAATAGATGTACAAAATAAGACATTGGTCCATGGAAAAATTTTCATTGAACAGAAGAGTTTGATTTGTTGGGGTGAGACTTACATGGCGCGGGGGAGGGCGGAGGGGGTGGTTCAAAGGAGAAGTCTTTAGGGCGGGGCCAGGTTCCCACAGGTGACTGAACTTTGGCAGCTGTATCAGGTGTTGGTTGGAGGGAGGAAGGAATGCAAAAAATGTTGGGCAAAAAATCATGGCAGAAAGTGGTTGAAACTTGTGCGTTTTTAGAATGGTTAGCTGCCAACTCAACTTCAAGGACATTTTTTGTGTCTGTCGTAACTGTACTTTTAAAAAAAATTGATTCTGATTTTCTATACAAAAATAGTTCTTGGTTGCAAGACATCCTTTTTTTCTTTCTGCCACTCAGAAAATCAGTTGTGTGTTGTAATGGATTTGAAAAGTGACTGAAGTTGAAAAAAAAGCAATTCTATTACTGTAATAGCTTATATAATTTCATAATTTGAATAGTTACAAAGTCGAAGGGTAGAAACTAAAGTTGTGTTAAGAGTCCCAAAAGCAGAGCAGGCAGCTTTCCAAGCATTACTGCAAAAGTGCAGTTAATGCAGAGGTGCAAAAAAGTGCAATTCGTATATATGCAGGAGTGCAAAAAGTGCATAAGTGCCTAGCAGTGTAGGTACAGTGTCATGCCAGAAAATTTCATCTGCATGCAGAAAGCTTGGATACTGTGAGCAGAGATGGGAGCTCAGATACAGCAATTTTCATGCAGAAATAAAATCATTTCACCTCCCTGTAAAATTTACATGCAGTTAGTAATATCATGAGGTCCCTTCTTGCACTGATTCAGACAGTATTTTGAACACCTGTTTCCAAATTCTCCTCTGTTAATTTAAACAAAAATTTTCCAGCATGAGATTGCAGGATTGAAAAACCTAAACAAAAATAAATTCTGGTCAACATTTGTTTCATCAACTGTCAATCAGAGCCACTAGGAACCAATCAGCTGCTAGTTCACATCTCAAGTTAAGGATGGACTGTTCCACTTACGATCTCTGGGCGGGGGTGGCTGGTGGTCCACAGGGATCATGATGGGTTTGGGCTTGAAGGGCGGCCGTCGGACTGGTGGGATGGACGAGTAATCCAGGTCATCATCATCTGTACCTGGATGGTGATGGGAACAGCAGTGTTAGCAGTGCCACCTTGTGAGCTTGAGAGTAACTGCACAATCTTTACAGTCACACATCATGCAGAAATAAGGAAAAATCATACCACCCAGCCAATCAGAACCTCACACACAACACATCTGAACTAACCCTCCAATCAGGATTCACAAAACAAAATATTCCACCAATCAGCACTCACCAACAAACGAGTTTCTCCTCCTGTCCATCTGAGGCCCGTCCATTGGCTGCGGGTCCACAGGTTTCATCTCGGCAGAGTTGCGTGGGATCGGTGTGTTGGTCATCTCGCCTGGCTGGGGACTCGACTTGTCCATAGACTTCAGCTCCATCTAACAGAGGAAGGAAGGACAGAACAATAAGCAGAGGCCTCTTAGGACAAGCTAAATTGTAACAGAATACACACATGACAGCCAACTGGAAGAAATTTCCCTGTTCTTTCTAGCCTTACTTGATTTAGTAGTTAGATGAAATACGTTTACATCTAAGAATGGGAAATTTCTCAAGTTAGATTAGTCGTGTGCTATCCATGCAGCAACACATAAAGAAAGTTGTGATCTCCATGCAGCAAAATGGACCACTCTCAAGTGCCATCTAGTGACACACTGTAGCACTGCAGCAATGTTTTGATTTGGTAGTGGGAGAACCAGGGGGGCATGTGAGATGACAGTTATGTACACATCCACAAGCTGGTGTGCTAACAGGAAAGAATGTCTCTAGGATCCAGCGGTTTGGGGGAGGGGGGTGAGGTGCTCTTGCCAGTTTGTTTACATAGCAGCACTGTTGAGTGATGACTTTAACCACAACAAATGGTGAAAAGAAGGAGGGAAGAAATGTCCCTTAGCTTGGGATTTACACTTCACACTGCTGAGGACAGTTCAACAGATCTTCTCACCATATCATGGACTGTGTTATGGTCCATAGAGTAGCGTGTACAAGTATGTGATAAAAATCAGAGACGGTGGAAGATGAAGAAACCAGACTGCTATATTTGAATGCGAAGAAGAAGAAAGATGGTGGTACATCCACAGGATTGATACTGTGGCAGCAAATGCAATACGACTCCTACAACTATTTAAGAAAAAACACTGACAGGGATATGAGGGTTTAAATGAATACCATAATGATTGGAATAAACCACTAAGCTGGGGTGTGGTAGGAAATATCATGTCAAATACTCATAAAAATGCAAAATTACTCTAGATGTGGAGGAAAACCCTGATAATATATTGTACAGGGAGGGGTATGTTGGCAGTTATCGGAGGAGTTATAAGGGATATGGGCAGGGATATTGATGTATATCTATATAATGCATTGAATCTTCCTTTATGTGATCCCTTGGGAATGTACTGAAATGGGAACATTGACTATAAATGGCAGGATTTGTATTGTAGGGTGAATGGGGGAGGGGGGCATGTTGTATGAAATGCCCACAGATACACCAACGGACGTCAAATGATCACGAGCACGACACGAATGCGTTTTTTACCGTCTGTGCGAGAAATGGCGTAGCACCGTGTGAGAAATTGTAGGTCTGCATCAACAGTCTGTTGTGGTACATGTTGGCTGGACTGCAAAATGTTCTCGATCATTGTGATGTGAGAGAGTTTTGGAGGCAAATTTTTTTTTCAAAACTCCTATCATTCTTACAGAATCATAGCTAGGCAGATTCTTGAGTCAGAATGCTGGCAGAGAAGAAGAAAACTGACATTGACTTGTGTAACACTTGCTTGCAAATTATACTTGTTGATGTGACTCCAACTTTACACAAGAAATTCAAAAACAGTCATGGTGGCGTGAGATCTTTGATCTCTATAGTTAAGAGAACTTAATCTCTAAAAACAAGCCAAGAAACAAAATGTAATTTCCTCTTGTAGCTCCTGTGTTGAAATTGCCACAGTAATCTGATCCACCCGAGTGGAGGCATTTTAAGATCATACGCAGTGCCGACGTGATAACGTTGTGGCAGTTTTACGTCCGTTTCATTTAACAAGAGTGCCGCCTCCCCCACCCTGGCCATCTGTTTTGTCCAACGCTTATTTTACAGCCGCGGACATCGATGAAACGGTGCGGCGACGCGTACGGATTCACGGCCGGACTTACAGCCGTTTTGATGAAACGTCAGCAGAGATTTATTAAAATTGACATTTTATGACACTTGTAGCTCTCAGAGGTGGAAAACAATTTCCCCGCAAAGCCCATCTCCACATCAGTGGATGGCTAGAGGCTAAATTTTATTGCTGTGTCACCCAGGAGCACTGGGGTATCCTATGATAAAGCGTGCCCTAAAATATAACATATTGGACATCTATAATACTCTAAACTCCTTAGAAACGGGAAGATACAACATGAAATGCTAGTAGTTCACTTTGCTAACCCTAAACGGACATACGTGTACATGTTTGTTGTTCAATCTCTTTTTCCTAAATTTGGGCACGTCAGGGATTAAGTACGCACCGTTTGAAAGACTATCCGAAATGAGAAATTCCGCCGTAAACAGACATGAATCTGTCAAGCAACGGGGCTCGTCCGTCGTAAAATGTCAAATTGCGAAACGAGCTATATTTGTTTTCTTCTCGCAATCTCGCGCCGGGTCTTAAGGGGTCTCCGGGGGAAGTCATCCCTAAAATCAAGTTGGTGAGGCGTTGATGTGTGTGTGCTTTTTTATGTCGTTCATTGTTCAACCCTCCCACTCGTGAAACGGCAACAGCTTGGTACAGACTGTCTTCAAACAAAATTTCAAAAATGACATTTTTGAACAGATACAAACTTGATGCCTGTTTTACAAGTTAGTTAGAGAGCAGTGACAAAAATGTCAAGGCAAGGCACACCTAAATAGCTAAAATAGTTAAATATCAAACAATAGGATAAAATACATGTAAATGCTCAACAGTTCTGTAGTGATATTCTCTCAATCTTTAACAAACCTACTTCATGTCTTGCTAGCAAATTTGTACTGAAAACCAATACGATTTTCCACAGAAATTAAGAAAATGAAAAGTGATGTAAGCTTTTTAGTGGCAAGTATCATAAAATGAATGCATTTGCACTTCTGACTCAGTGTAAAACTGATGTAATGATACCACCAATCAGCAAACAGCAGTTTACTTGAAACTGCCCAGCGCAGGAGGCAGGGTGTCTATTACCTTGTTATCGTGAACTAACTTATCTTCGCAACCACTTTGAATTCATCCCACCACCACGGACCTGCATCAAAATTGATGAATAGTTCAATTACACCGGCCAAAAGGAGTAGAAAGGCGACGTTGACAGCCCCGTTCGATTTTTTACTTCTTTGCATCTAACTTCCAGCTTTACGGCCTAGTTTAAAAACATGTGTATAAATAGCCCAATTTACGGTAGAAATTTTTTATGACAGACACGTCATCTGGTGTCCCTGGGGAGTTGGATGTGGCGTAGGTGTTTCTTACAGGTGAGCGTTAGTAATTATCTGTGTCATTACCCCTGGGAATTGCTGTCAATCTACCCAACCATTTTTCTTATGATGATACCCATCCATGCACACCTAGTAATCATCTATCAAGCTTTCTGCTGCTTTTTCTCATCATCATATCTTTCTGACTTTTTAAAACAAATTTACATCTGAAATATAATATTTCCTTTGTCGTGACTAAAATATATAATGATCATATCTTCTATCATATTATTCATTTTATTCTTTGTTCAGTGGTGGCTCAATGTACTGTGAACTGAATACTGTGTACTATATTTCTAATTCTAATAAAATATTTCACTTTTTAATGCTCCTGATACAAAAATCTTTGTTGCATTTTAAGTTGATAATGGCACTAATTCTCATTTGCACATGTTACTGCAACACCGAACATCTGTTTATTGTCTTTCTATTCATCAACCTAAAAATCAATCTTTTAAATAATCAGTCATTTGCTTTATTCTAGTACAAATAAAATCAGTGATTCCTTTTTGCTTTGAATTTTTTTGTTTCATCCAAAAAAAAAAACGGCTCACATTTGCTGATCAACAACTAAATTGGCAAATAAGCTAAAAATATGGAAAACATTGTTTAAACTGGGTTGGCTTGGCTGTAAAGGATCACAACTGTGTTGCAACTGCATAAAATGTTCTCTTTTTATGTGTGTCGATCAATAGACAGCCTGCATTTGCAAATGGACAAAGACGATAAATATCTTGTATCGGTCAGGGGCAAGGTCAGGATCAATACAGCAATAAACGATAATCCCTCGTCTCCTAACTGCACAGCATTAGACATGAACTACATTTGGGTGGACAGTCAGATGTGCTAAGTTTTCATCGATTATAAAACTTGTCATTGAGGCACTAAATCGTGCTTCTAGCAACCTTTCCACTGGTTAGGGACCTAGATAGAGCTCTGGCCTGTAAGAGTCCGTGTTACGAAGATCACAGAATTTGTGCATCTAAACATTTCCTCACGCAATTGATTATATGGAAGTCACATTTGAATTTGTTAAGCTTAAACATATTGAAGTAGAAGTTTGACTACTAATTCTCCATTAGTTATGGGGTTAGGCAGCAGGGGGAAGGTTAAATTTGCCATAACTGACTAGAGTAATGGCTTTAAATTAATGATATCAGAAGTGGAACTATTCAAAATGTTCTACTATGCAATTGCTAACTATACACAGCTGACTAACATTACACAGAAATCTTTAAACTGGTTTGGGTACAGAATTTTCGTTGTTGTTATAGAAAAACACATTGTAAGAACTTTCTAAAAAAAGGTCTATAAAACAATCAGTGCTAGGCTTTCTGTTTCAGCAAACGTATTGATTTGAATGTTTTTCTGATTAATCAATAAAAGGTTAATGCATGACCTTAATGACAAACATTGCAAGCAAAGGTTTTCTTTCTTTAGGAGTATTAGAAAACTATCTTTCCAAAATCACTAGTGACATTTTACAACAATATCACAATGAAGACTGATATAATTTTATGATGTTATATCATTTTTATGAGGTGTCCTGTCTGTTATCAAGGAATTAATGTGAATTATTTATGAATTGTCTAGACAGAGAAGATAATTATGAGCGAATCATAAGCGATGATTCTGTCTCTGTGCACCTTACTCACACCTGTCTACCTGTGTGTATCTCACCTGGGACACATTAAGGTGATATAAACACACCTGGATTTTTATAAATGTTTTCCCATGGGAATTACATCATAATGACCTCATCCCTTGAAAACAGCAGCATTTAAACTTTCAAGATTTTTTTTATATCAAACTCACAAAATTTCTTTCCAAAAAAAGCATAGCCAGTGACCAGTATTTCTGGAATTACCGATGTCAATTATTACATTCTTATTGAAC